CCATTTTCTTGTCATAAATAGATTACTGGTTTTTCTGCCAACACACTGGTGTCCTCCAAGTGATTTTCTCACAGCCACAAAGACCAGCTCTGGGTTTAAATTTACCATGATGTTGTGTACTTTCTCCCATGCTGACAGAATAGAGTTACTGGTGACATGACAAATGACCTAAATACTTTTTTTAAAATCACCCTTAATAGCAAAATCCCCAAGAGCAGTAAATCAGAATATTTATTTTAAAAAATTCTCCCATTGCCCAGTTGAGCTGCGTCTCAGCTCGTAGCATGCCCTGCCGTCCCCCGCCTCCAGCCCAGCTGAGCCACATACTGGCTTCTGGCCCCACCTCACAGCCCAAATGAGCCATGAGCTGGCTTCCAGGCCCTACTCTCCTGCAGTGTGCCAGGACTCTCTGATCCTGGAATATCTATGGTCATGCCAGACCAGAAAATCCTGGATTTTAGATGTGCAGCCTATAGATATATGTATTTAAAATGTCCATCTATCTCCCTCGGTTTTTCATTAGTACCAATAGTGATCATAATTTTTTTCTCCAGATGGTTTCAGGTGTGCAGTTTTAACTTGGAATTTCCCAGATGACGATACTAAATGGTATTAATAGTGGCTGTGGTAGTGTCATTATTATTTGCTAAATGCACGTTCATGTATACACACGCGCACACACTGGTTTTGCTTATTAAAGGCTTGATTATGCAACTCGTAATCATGTTGGTGACCATTACTCATGCAAATAGTTTACTGGCCTCAGTGGGACTATTTCAGTGATGATGTTCAAAACAATATGAGTAAGAGTTTAAGAACCCCTACCTGTACAATACTGGTAACTTCAGAAGTTGAAGCCTGTGGGAAAAAATACTGATATTGGCTTAAAAAATCATGCAATTTTTTTTAATGTTTTTTATTTTAAAATTTGGCTTCTTATTTCTGATCCTCTGGTACGCCCTTGCTTCAGGTTTTCAAGCTTTTTTTCCACAATCCCAAAGGCTGGAAACTGACTTTAACATAAAAATGAGATCATCATGTCATGACTTCATTCATGAAGTGGACAGTAATCAAGTCGTGCATAATTTGTGATAAAATAACCAAAATTAAAATTTAAATGATACATTTTAATAGCTCTAGAATCCCATATTTTTGTTTGTGAATGCAATGTGAAAAACAGTTCCCTGCATTTATTTGCTGATTTTTCACTAATCATCTTCATCTAACATCATTGTTAAAACTTTACTTGTTGACTTGAAGAGAAGTGATGTTGGTGAAGTTTTATACCTGAACAAAGATGTCTCTGTGGATGAATGGAATCACAACTGAACTACCTGAAAAGAATCTCCTGAGTCATCTAGTCCAATTGTTCTCTGTCTTTCCAGATGACTGTACCCTTTTCAGGAATCTGGTTTATTCTACATACCCCAAAATTCACCTCACTTAAAAACTGCTTACAAATAATATTAAATAAATCCATTGGAATACAAATATTGTACTTACATTATATAGAGCAGTGGTCACCAATCAGTGGCTCAGGATCTATTGTAGATCTTGGAGCCTGTGAAAGGTGATCCTGACTGGTTTAGCCAAGAGGCTATCAAGGACCAGCACTTCAGCTGCCCATCCCCCTATTGCTGTGCACCTCCTGCCCTTTGCCTTGGAGCTGGCCACCTCCAGGAGCCTCCTGCTTGCTGTTCAGGGAAGAGAAGAGAGTGCAGGGGGTGCTGATCTCTGGGTGCCCCTTCTCCTACCCTGTATTCTAGCTTCACAGAATGGAAGAAGGGGCACAACTGGGCTTGGGATAAAGGGAGTTTGTTGACTGCTTTTGAGAGTGGTACAGGACCAGGGCAGAGGTGAGCCTGCCTTAGCCCTGCTGCACCACCACCCAGAAGCCACCAGAGGTAAGGGGCACAAAAGAGGCAGGACAAGGGTATTTGGATTTGAGGTAGATCCTGGATTGCACTTAAATTAAAAAAGTGATCTCATGCTTAAAAAGGTTAGAGATCTCTGATATAGAGCAATATAAACAAGTCTTTGGCAGTATTCCCTGTAGGCCAAGTGCTTGGGAAGCCACTGGGGAGAAGTGAAAATGCTGCTCAGCTGATTAGCAGAGTACCCAACGCTGAAAGCAGTCAGCAACATGTGTTTCTACTGGTGGTGTACATCCACATATGCGTTGGTGCACATCACAACATTTAGTCTGCACACAGATAGAAAAAAATTAGAGGGAACATTGGTCATTGGCTGTATGAAGCTTTAGTTTGCACTAGTTTCAGTTGTGCTTTTCATGGAGCTTGTTTTAAAAGTAGGCAAATAGCTAGATGACTAGTTGTACCCCTGGAAGATCTCTGCATACTCCCCAGGCATATGTGTGCTCTGACTGAGAACCTCTGATCTACTCAGTCCCTCTGCTTTGGGAAACTTTTATTGCAGCCCTTACTCATACGCCTAGCCCAATGATCGGTGACTACTTCACATGGTTAAAAGCTGCAGTTCAAGCCCCTGAGGCAGAATTGCCCTACGACAAATTCTTGAGTCTGTTTTGAAAGTCACTGATGTTATTATTTCAGCAAACCTCCCTTGGCAGATTATTCCACTGTCACACCAGCTCTAGTGTAAAATATCCTATTTAATTTATTCTCCCCCAGCCCCTATTATGGTTTCAGGCCATTAGTCCTTATGTTACCATGTTCAGTGGGAATGAAATTCAATCATACATTCCTTGAACAATCATAAATCCCTTTGAGTCAGTGGGAGTTTTGGGGGAAGAGAAGGAATGTGGGAATGCATCTTTAAAGGCATTACTTTCTCTTTTTTGTATTCTTAATTCTGAAAGTGTATTTTTCCCTGCTTAAAAAGACATCACCATTGCTTTTCTCTAGGCTACAACCAAAGCAATAGGGTGTGAAGGCAAGGGAATTCTCTCTACCCACTACTGTCTGTTACTTAATACTCAACATTCAGTAATTTCCCAGTCAAGAAATATCACTCTATTTTTTTCTTCCTTATTTATGCATGGCTGTGTGTTCCCTATTGTTGTTGCTACATATGTTCACAATCTTTAATGAAGGTCTGTCAGTATGAACTTCTATCTCCATTTGGAGTCCTGTTGCAGTGACCAATGCCAGCTGATACAATGCAGAATTAGCACCCAATTTATTATGACACATTATTTAATTTGGATTGAAGCTTTGAGATCTTTGTGTTGCTTTCATTTTCCCCAGGGGTCTGGTCATGGAAAGGGCTTAACCAGTTGCTAAGAGTCCTCATTTTATTTATCAGCACCTTAATCTGCTGACTCCAAAAGGAGCTGAGCCATGTTAATGTTTTGGACTGTTATAATTATCACAACTCATTCACAGCAGCATGTGCATTTCCTTAATCTTCCTTCATGAGACATCCATGCTCTGAATACTGTGCAATATTCTTCATTTAAAAATACAAATAGAAAAAAACTTATATAATACGAGGATTTTTTTAAAATAAATGTATAGCATAGGGGCACTGCGGAACTTTGCTAAAATGCATTTGAACCTTGTAAGTAACTGATGTCCATTGTCTGCATACTGATCACTCTTTTTTGTTTACATTGTGAGATCCTTTGGGCAGAGACTGATTTTTGTGTTCACAATTTGCACAGCACTTAGCTCAATGGAATTTTTAGGAGCTCTCCTAAGACTAATTATGATTTTATTATTATTATTATTTATTATTAATTAATCCCCTGCCTCATCCCCAAATAGACTTTCAGTTTTTGTGTGTTCAATGTGACAGAGATCGGGGAGAGCACTCAGGCCGTGAAGCAAGAGAGAATGAGGCCCCTGTCTTGCAAAAAGTTTGACATTGTGTAGCCCTAATCATCAGAATAAAACTATGTGAGTGTGTAAGTGTTTTGCAGGTTTGGAATCTAAGACATTACTGTGAGATTAATAACTGAATAGCACCATGGTTAAAATGAAAAATTGAGGCTTCTTAATAGCCAAGAGCATGATCTAAAAACCTGTGTTACATCTACAGTCGCATTAAGATCAAAGGGGAATAAAATTTAAGTCTAACTTTTTCCTC